AACTAATACACTATCAGAGTTTTATATATTTATACTTCTCATTCAACCACAGTTAAATTCACTCTATCTAGGAGGCTCAGTTTATATGGATAGTTTTTATTTTTTACAACAACAAGCTGCAATGAAAACAAGCAGAAATGAAATAAAAGAAACAACTTTATACTTCTTGTCTTTTTTAAAATGTAAGAAGTAAAAAGTAGACTGAAAAATAATTAGTCAAGTAAAGTACAGATACACAAAAATTCTACTTAAGTACAGAAACAAAGTATTTGTATTTAGTTATTTTACAACTCTGCTCCCAATAAATGTCATTACAGAAAATCTAACCACGCATTTTTACTCAGTACTTTTACTTTTCATACATATATAAAGATGAACAAACATGAAGAGATTTTAATAAATGTTATACATTTTGTTTTTAGTTGAAAGTACATGCTTGTAGAGAATTTAAAGAATACATTAAAGACATTTAACAACTTTTTCTTTTGTTGTACGTCTTTGTTTTCTAAAATTATCTTTTCTTTTTTTTATTACATGCATGGTTTTGTACTTCAGTTTTTTTATTGTTTTTTTTTTTGTTTATTGACAGAATAAACACTATTTTACTTGCAGTAGTTGTTCTTAGTATTTTATTCTAAATCCATTTCAAGACCAAAAGCCAAACTTCAAGTTTTTTTTCCTTCAAAGCACTTCTGTTTGTTTTGACAAACAGAAAATTGGTTTCTAACAGAAAAAAAGATCAATGTCTTAAATTATATTAAAAATATGTTTCTTTTAACAAAGATTATTTTTTGCATCTTATTTTCCTATAAGTTCCTATAATATCGTATATTTTATGTCAGAAATTTACTTTTAATACTTGAGTACAAAACAAATCTGATACTTTAAGACTTTTACTCAAGTAATATTCTTAGAGGATACTTTAACTTTTACCAAAGTAATTTTATGATAATATACTTGTACTTTTACTCCAGTATCACTTTGCGGTACTTTGTACAAGACTGAAAATGTGTCTGTATTGTGTTGTTCAGGTCTCCAGTGCTGCGTCGCCAGGCCATGTTGACGAGCAGCTGCTCTCAGCTCGAAGCTGTAGGGAGTTCCCTCAACCCACAGGGGTCTTCCATCCCGGAGATTCGAGTGGACCCTTCCACTCCCATAAACCGAGGCTCCGCCCCTGCCTCCTCCAGCCCTCCCTCTTTATGTTTCCCTGCTGTTGGCGAGCACGGAAACGTAACGCCCGTCCCTCACCAGCCCCTCTACCTTCGACGCCGGGCCGAGCGGAGCCTGAAGGACAGAGGGAGGAGGCAGAGCGAAGGCTTCCTACGCCTCACCAGGTCCCACAGCGAGCCGGGCCTCGGCTCATCCACGGACACAGGTGAGTCCACCTGCATCTCTCAGGTGGTTCCACTCTGAGGTCAGAGCTTTCCGTCTCTAACGCACCGTCTTCAGCCCTGAAAAACATGATTCCACAGTAAAAACTTTCTGCTGAGTCAGACCAAACAACTGCTTCCATCAGAAGTTCAGGGAGGCGTTGTGGTTACAGTGCTTAAACTTTTTCCTGAGAGGGACAAAATTAAAATCTGAGAGCTGTGGGCCAAATTTAATAATATAATACATGAAATGCAAACACTTCTTAAAGTGCCTGTGACATCAAATTTTTGTAATAAACATGAATGCATTTTTGGAAAGATAACACTGATAACATTTCTCAAAACTAATTTCACGTCACTGAGATGAATGGTTGTTGAGATATTTGCATGTGAAGAAACAGGAAGTGATGTCAGAGGGGAATGTCTGCATGTGAACAGAGCGTTGTTACAAAAGCAAACAATGCAGAGTGTAGAGAAGAATCTGATGTTTCTTTAGATTATTTTTAGTAGTTATCAAAGAGTGCTGAAGAGGAGTTAAAGTTTAAATAATTTTGTTTTAATAAACAAAGACCAGAGAGTTTATTTTATTAATGAGTTCTCCTTTGATGTCACTTCCTGTTTCACTTTTACTGAGCCAAATTCAAATGAAAAAATAGGCTGGTTATGTGACAAAATGTGTAAAATAAGCTGTACTATGCCTATTTTCTTAAGTATAAAGATGCTTTCTTTGACTTTTTGTATTTGAAGGATATAAATGTGACAGGAACGTTAAAGTTTCTGTGACGTGTATACCCTTCAGATACAGAAAGTCAAAGAAAACAACCTTATATTTAAGAAACTTTGCATAATACAGTACACACGATTTTACTTATTTTGTCTCATAAATTGCATATTTTCTTTTGAACTTGTTTGCCTCAAAGTTTGGAGACGGGGGGAGCCAGGAAGCACTTTATAAAGAGAGTCAAACCATTACAAACTCATACAAGGAGATAAAACAGACGTTTTACATGGTGAAATGTGACTGATGGAAACTTAGGAGCTTAATCCCACACCAGTTTGACCATGAAGAACGACAAGTCTGACTTTTTTTTTCACACTGGACTCAACCGGGAAGAAACCCCGTGCATACTGCTGCTTAAATGTTCACTACGTCAGAACTTCAATGTGTTTCCATCTCTGCTTTTGTGCATTAACTCTTACAGGATGGAGGAAACTGGACTTGGTGGAGGTTTGCACTCTGAGTGCTTCTAGTTTGACTTAATTTGGGTCACATTTTCAGACTAACAAGACAAATAATCTTACACATTCTGAAAACAAGATGATTATTCTTACACAATCAGTTCTTGTTTAGTAAATCAGTCTGAAAACAAGATCAAAAAGACTTTTTGGCTGATATAAGGTTTTAAAACTTGGTTAGGTGGACAGTTTTTGCAGTGTAGTGTTTCAGTTTGTGGATAATCAGACCAACTTGGAGCTGGCTCTGAACCAGACAGGAGCGTTCTTAGTAAAAAAAAAAAAAAAAAGGAACATTATATCAGTTTTACAACAATTATTCAGTTTGTTTTGCTCCTTTGTTCCAGTTGATTTTGGTTCTGGAGGCAGCAAAGCATCTACAGACACAGGTATGAGCTTTTATCTGACAGTTTTTATGTCTAATCTGAAAAATGTTTGAAATTCTAATTAAGAAAAAGGGTTTTGGTGTGTGTCATCACCTGCTCACACACCCTTTGTTTAAATTTTTACTAAAAATGTCAACTTTAAAGAGAGTAAAAGGACAAAAGAGGCATTTTATTGTTGTGGTCAGTGAAGTTCGGTTCTTTCATCAAAATGTTTCTGTTTTATTTTCTGCTTGTTAGCTCCGTCCTCAGAGGCGTGTTTGTTGCCTCGAACGTCTCTGCCTCCCGCTGCAGCTCTGCCCAGCAAAGGCAGCATAAAGTCAGCGGCAGTGGCTACGGGGGTGCAGGTCCCCACGAAACCTGCGGCCACTTCCCCGCTGCGCTTACCCAAAGACTGCCACCGCTCTTTAGGAGACCTGAAGGTAAACCAGGTGAAGAGAAACGGAGACGTCCAGCCTGGGCCGAGGCTAAGATCTCTCCTCTTTCCTGTCAGGTGACTCGAGTTCTGGTGGCTCGTTTCCTGCAGCGATCCAAACGGAATCTGGGCCCCTCGTCAGAACACGCTGGGAGCGCAGGGCAGGGGTCGAAGAGGAGGGGCGGAACTGAGGCTGCTGTTACCCATCACCTGTCGTCTGAGCAGGTACGACTGAGAATGAAGGAAGTCACATGAAGCAGAGCTGCTCTTCGCCCTTTAAAGTCTGACTCTTTAAAAATACAGTCAGAAAATTCTCATTTTTAGAACTGACATGTTTATTAAGCCTTTAAACAAAATCCTTTTTTTTTTGCCACATCACTTTGTTTATGATATATTTTTTTGTATCAAATCTGATCCACTGGGCTGTTTTGGTAACATTTTGCTCACAACAAAGTTAAATTAAGAAACAAAAAAACAGTTTTGCCCATAACTTTGGAACACTGTAGGAAGTTTACTTCTTTGTTTTTYTACAATGAACTTTTTACAGCCATTTACTTCACTTGGTGGTAGACACAAATATAGTTGTTCAGGCACAGATGTACCTTACACTTTATTTAAAAATACCATCTGTTATCATATTGATGACATTTTCTTACTTTCTTTTTTCTCTTCTTCCTCAATTTTCTTTGACACCAAACGTAAATAATTAGTCAGAACAGCGTAGAGATTATAATTTCAAAGAAACCACATAGAAAATAGTCAAAATGTGTTTTCAAATGGCATTTCAGTAATTAATCAATCATCCAAAATAGTGTGTGTTGTGTTGTGGCAAGAATACTGTTGATTAAATTACTAAAATATCACATGACAATTCAGGACTGTAGAACCTTATATACCTGCAGTATCAAGTGTGATACACAAATTTTTAACACGGTTTAAATGTACTATTAAAAATATATATTTTAAGTAATTATGCATTGTTTCAACACAAAAGGTATTTATTTTAAAAAAATTACAAACAATATAGATGTTATTCTTACCATAACTTCTCCAAAATTAGCAAATGTTTTCCTGAAAAAAACGTGTGGATGACCTCATGTCAGCAGACATTTTGAAAAGGCAAAATAATAATAATAATAAAAAAAAAAGTTCCACTTCCTGCAGGACATTGAAAATCCACCAGAGGGCAGAATACAGGTCTCACATTATATACAACATCTCTTTGAGGAAAAAAAATGATCACATTGATAAACTAGACATGGGTTTTTTCACAATGTAAAAACAAGTGTGCATTGCCTGCAGCAGTGGACTTACAGAATGAAATGGGACCTAGTTCAAATGTGTTTTCTATACCAGCTTGTGCCTGTCACGTCAGCAGGTGTTTGTAATTAAGGCAATTGTGTGACAATATGAAGTTTGAAGACATTTTTTGTTAAAGTTGCGTTAGCTGGGTTTTGAAACCTGATCTCCCACATGAAAGCCCATGACATAGCATTAGACTGTTGGAGCTGTGGCAGGGTGTGGTGCCAGGGGTTGGTTTCTATGTGTGCAGAAAGAGGCCACATTGCCAATACAATTATTGACACTAAACTGTATGATATTACAACAATAGAGCAGTTTTAAGACAATAATATAGTAAAACATCAAAATACAATCATATTAGTATTGTAAACACTGAACAATTGAGATTAAATATTATTAAAGTATGGAGCAGTACCAAGTTGAGTCCAGCATGGGGCAGTATTGGACCAGTACAAGGCCCCATTGACTCCCATTATATGAATTTGGAATAAAGTTTAAACATTAATATTTCAAAAACTACAAGCTGTACAGGCACCAAAAGGCGTAGCAATCATTTGGCATAGGACCTATACAGATAGAAATTACAATGGCAGATGTAGGACAAAGTATGCAGGAGCATTGGACTTGCAGAATGAGCTTTGACCAAGTTCAAAGAAGTTTTCTAAACCGGCTTGAGCCTGTCATGTCAGCAGGTGTTTGTAATTAAGGTAGTTGTGTGACAATATGAAGTTGGAAGAGATTTTTTTGTTAAAGTTGCAGTAGATGGATTTTGAACCCTTATCTCCCACATGAAAGCCCACAGTGCTCATCATGAGACTATAGGAGATGTGGCAGAGGACAATCCCAGGGATTGGATTGTATGTATACAGAAAATGTTTACCTTGCCAATGCTATTATTGACACTTAAGTGCAATATATTACAGCAAMAGGACAACATAAAGACAGTATTACAGTAAAACATCAAAATACAATCATATTAATATTGTAATCACTGAACTACTGAGTTTAAATATTATAAAACTATGGTGCAGTACCATATTGTGTAGAGGCAGCAGGGGGCAGTATTGGACCAATACAAGGCTCCATTGACTGTCATTATAATTTATTAAACATTAATATTTCAAAAACTTTAAGTTGTACAGGCACCAAAAGGCATAGCCATCATTTGGCACAGGAGCTTTACAGATATAAATTACAATGGCAGCTCTAGGACAAAGTATGCAGGAGGAGAAGCATGGCAAAGTTGAGATGACTTGGATGGGAAACGAATCACAATAGTGAGCATTGCATTGACAATGCACACTGAATATAGGTCACAGAATCCTGTGTAGCAAATATGATACAAATGGTGATACTGGTAGATTTAACCTAGAATCTCCCGTCTAACATTATCAGTAAGTCTGCTTTGTCACAGTTTACCCTTTTATTTAGCTCCTCAGACCACAAGTGACTCCAAACTGTTTCTTGAGTTAAACTACTAAAGTGTTGTAGCAATGAGAGAGAAATGTCCAAAGCTTGAAGGTTGAACATTAAATTGATGTCTTGAAATTACACAGAGCAAGCACAGAGTTCTGCTCTGAAAACATTTCTAAACTCTTAAACATAAACAGCAAATCTGGCCTGACTTTATGAAAAACGTCTCAAACATTCACAGACTAGTAGAACAAAATGTACTGTACTGACTTTAACCCTTTAACACCTAAGGGTCAAAAAGGATCAAAATTTTCACCTGGTATTTTTGGCTTATTTTACCTGTAAAAAGGCCAATAATTGTCCTGTGAGTAAATAATTTTGCACCCTTTTCAATAGCAACTAAAATTTTCAATATCTGGCAGTTATTTAAAATTAATTGCATATTAAAATAGTATTATAAATTTTAAATGAATAAAATCCAAAAACAAAATTAGATTTTTGAGGTTTACTAAGGAAAAATTCACAACAAATGTACATAACGAAATGATTTGACATCAAATACATGAAATTTAAACAGTATATAAACTACTTGCAGTGAAACCTTTTGATTTTTTGTAAGTAAATGAAAAAACAGTCCAAAAATGAAACCCATATACATGGCGTTTTTTTCCCCTTTCCCCCCAAACTCTCAGTGTTTGTGATACTGCCTAAAGCAGTTCCTATGAAGCTGCAGACACAGGTCCTACATCACATTAGGCCCATTGTTCTACATCACCATGCTCCATTTCAGTCCTCCATCTGACAAGATTTGGAGAGCAGCTTCTGTCTCTCACAGCATCCACATCATCTTCAGCATCCTCACTGCTGCTCTTCTTCCTCTCCCTCCTCCCAAACTTGAACATGGCTCGTCCTCACTACAAGATAAAAAGAAAGTAGCAATAAGTATTCAGTTAGTCTCACACACACACACACACACACACACACACA